TTCCCAAGTATAATACACATATAACATTTGTGAAATTTCCGCGGACAATTTTTCTTATTTAGCCTCAAAGATCTCAAAAAATTCCAATATCCCCATTTTTCAAATTTTTAGAAACCATGTCAGTTTGCATGACCTTTTTCTTACAAGAGGAATATTTCTAGAATAAACTTTTATATGCCCTGTGTACCTTAAAATGTCATGTTATCATATGATCCAATGATTTTTGTTAGAGTGTATTAGATACCAATAAATATTCATTTATATTTCCTCAATTTTCATGTTTTCATTTAGTCAAAATGGGCCAAAAATGGCCGAATTCAATGGATCCGTCTCCATGGCAACGAAGTGCACGTGTGGAACTTCCGACACCATATTTACTAGTTTTGTACCAAGACACACCAATGGTGAAAATTTCATCAAAATCCGAGACATGTCGTTTCCTAGATTTTTTGGTGCTTACAGAGAATGCATATTAAAGTTTATAAAACCCTTTTTTTTTAAATGTAAGTTTTTTCAATTTAAAATGTTGCCAAAATGACGATAAAATTAATTGTGATCTCTGCAAATATGATAAGGGACAGTATGAACATTAGTCGAACATTAGCCAGTTGTATAATGTACGTAATCTTTATTCAAATTTATCATATTTTTATTGTATTTATAATTGTAACTTGTCTTTCTTTATGTATGTTTTTGTATGATTGTAACTTATATATAAAAAAAAACTAAAAAACTTGTTTATTGAAATACTGATGCCCCGGTATGGTAACATAGCGAAGCTTAAACTTTTCGTAAATGCAGATTAAATATATCAGTACCCAAAATAGGGTCTTATCACAAGAAATACGATTGTGAAATATTTCTTAGGAAAGGTCCTATCACAAGTATTACATATGTGAAGTATGAAAACCCTATCCCTAACCGTTCAAAAGTTATGGCCAAGGTTAAAGTTTTTAAAAAGTAGGTCAGACTCCAAGATCAAGGTCAAAGGGTCAAAGTTCTCGATATGCAAGAAAAGGTATTCTCTCAATGAGTAAATATGTAAAATATGAAAGCCTTAAACGTAGCCCTATAATATTTATAGTCAATTTTTTTTTAAAGTAGGCCAAACTCTATGGTCAAAGGGTCAAAGTTCTTTGTGTCCATTGAAACATCTTTTCACAAGGATCACATTTGTTGAGTATGAAAGCCCTAGCCCTTACCGTTTAAAAGTTATTCCAACGTTATAAAGTTTTTTTCATACGTATGGAATACTCCAATGTCAAGATCAAAAGGTCAAGGTTGTTGGTTTCATTGTCCAATGAAAGGTCTTGCCTAAAAAATACATATGTGAAATATGAATGTTCTTCTATTTACCGTTCAAAAGTTATGGCCAAAGTAAAAGATTTATGTGCAAAAAAAGTGGGTCAAACTCTAAGGTCAAGGTCAAATTTGGTGGAACCCAAAGAAAGGTCTTGTCACAAGGAATACATATGTGAAATATGAAAGTCAAAGCTCCACTACATCTAAAGTTATGGGCAAGGTTAAAATTTTCTCGGACTAACAAACAGAGAGACAGACAGCGAGACAGACGGACGGACACGACAAAATCAATTTACCCTCGAAACGTCGTTTACGGGGGAATAATAAAATGGCCTGTTTTTGAGTGCAGACACTTTCTACTCTATAATCCAAACTATTCCAGTCCAGTGCAAAGCTACAACATTGTATATAGAAGCAGAGGCAGGTCAAGATTCATGACCATGAACAGTACCAAAAGGGGACAAGATCAGAAACAGTACATGAGCGCGAGGAAAAAAAGGTAAAAAAGCTAAATATGAATACTGGTGACATTTCGGCAATGATCATAGAAAATTATTATAGATATCGTTTACGCAGGATATAAAACTGAGTGTATGGAAATTTCTTACTTACGTCAATGCCGAAACAAATTTCATTTGATAAGGGAGAAAATGATGGAATATCTAGTTCTTAAGGAAGTAGAAAATCTTTCAGCAAATGTGCTATTGATAAAATTTTTGATGTAGCAGATGCTTATTTTTGTAACTTTTTTTAGTACCAAAAAAGGATGATAGTGTATGATCACTTATCAATATGAGGAATTTAAATGAATACATGAATTATCAACATGGTTTAGAATTAAACACAGATGACTTTTGTTCTCAGTTGATCTAACGAAAAGAAAAGACATTCAAAATAAAAAAAGGAAAATTTAAAAGATTTGTACTACTACCGTTTAGATTATCATATCCACGGTTATTTAATAAGATTCTTAATCCAGTGTATACTGTATTCAGAGAGAATGGAGACAGATGCTGTAATTACATTGATGACTTCCTGATTAAAAGCGAAATAATTTTCTGAAATGCAAAGGACCTTGTTAAATGTTAATTGTATTTGTTAGTACATATTTGTAATGCTATTATGCAAGGTTGCTTTGTATTTCAAAAAATAAGAAAGGGATAAAGATACGACTTTAAAATTGCAGAATGACGATTATGATTCTTATATGGTTTGTTCTGACATCAATCTTAACGAAATTGATTGGTGGGAAAGAAATTTTAGAAGTCTAAATGGTAATCCAATTATACCCAATCCTGTTTATTTTTGGGTTTAATCAGATACATCATTAAAAAGAAGGGGTATTTTTTTTTAAATGGCAGGAGGTAGGTTGATATGCAATGAAGCGGAATTCCGTATTAATACTTTGTAACTTTTTGTAACTTTTTTTGTATTAAAACCTTCTTACAAGAAATTCAATTTAAAACATATCTGTTCAAAACTGATAATACAGCAGTTGTGTTGTTTCATATATTGATGCAATGAGTGGTATGCAATCTAAAACAAACTTGACAAATTAACAATTGAAGTGGTCGCCAGCGTGGCGTGGTGGTTAGAGAGTCTACTCTAGAGTCGTGGAGTAAGGAGTTGATCGCGTGTTCGAATCCCACCGGTCCTTCGGATGTGCCGAGCATAGTACAAAATTTGCAGATTTCAATCAGCATGTGGTGGCGTCTCAATAAGAGTAAAACATTCTTAAGAGGGACATTAAACAGCATACATGTACCAAAAACAAAAGAAGTGTGAAACTTGTGTTTTGAAAGAAATTTAATAATTTATGCACAATGTATTCCATACATCGAAAATATTAATACCGATTCATAATCTAGAAAATTTTCAGATTACACTGAATGTCTTTGAATGGATTTGTGATCATTTTTTTAACAGATGCAGGTTTATTTGCTTCAAGGTAAAAAAAAAACAGCTAAATGAATTTCTACTAAGATATTTCGATCCAGAAGCTTATCACCTTGATGTTTTAACACAATGTCATGGTCCTTTTTTCTTCCTTATATGTTTCCACCTTTCAAATTGATTGGTAGAATTATAGATAAGATTTTTGATGACTTTGTCAAAGAAGCCATTAATCATTATCCCAATGTGGACACACAAATATGGTTTCCATCAATAACGTCGGTTCCCCCTTTTTTTTAATTCCAATCAGACTACATGTACCCTGGCACAAGAATTTGTTGACAATGACTCAAACAGGCGAGGTACATCTACTTTTGAAAATGAAATCAATCCCTTGTATTGCATCAGGAAAGCACCCCATAATTCAGGACTTTCAAACTTGGATGCGAACATCATCACATCATCTTTACGAGCAGCAACAAACCAACAATATCAGTGCTGTTGGAAAAGATGTTTATTTTGGTATTATAAACGGGGTATTCACCATCTGAAGTGAATGTTATAACATATTTAACATATCTTTCTTATTCTGTAATAAATACTCAGATGCTCTATGTTAGTAAATACCTTGCCTTTTTTGTTACAAATGGAAAAAAAAACCTCATAACCGATAACAAAACTAATGAAAAATTATTATAACATTAATCCCTCAAGACCAAAGGTAAAACTTACTTGGGATGTTTCTAAAGTCTCAAGATTTTTGTGTACCTTAATATCTCTATGTAAGGTTAGTTTACATATGTTAACTCTTAAGTTACTAGTCCTTATTGGACTTCCTGTAGCTTCTACAACACAAGCATTATTGGCTCTAGATTGTCAGCGCATAGAAATGTCTTGTGCATAAAGTGACATTGTGAAAATTTTCTGGCATAAACATCAGTCTGTGTTTATTCTACATTGAAATAGTACTTGAGGGGGACAAAAGACTTCTGGAAATCTTATCTTTTAGGAGTGTCTATGATCAACTTGTTAAAACAGCAAACTGGACATCTTCAAAGACATTTTAAAGAACTTCAAGGGATGAGCATTTCGCAACTGCAATATTATATAGATAAATTTTACTTTGTTGGCATAATGAAGTTTTAGTTAGAGTTAAAGGAAATCATTATTTGTTGATATAAGTTTTTGTATTTCCTAATTAAAGTAATATAATGAGTCAAAATTATGTCTTTCTTTCATGATATCTGTAGCATACAGATAATGACTCACAAAAATTATGAGTACGAGGGTTGTCAGTAAAGTTCGTGGACAACATTGATAAAACTTAAAAACATTGATAAAATATATGAAACTATTATTTACAATGAATTATTGTTTTACATTATACATATGCAAATTTTAAACAAAAACAAAGCACAAATAGTTATACCCGGTATTTTTATCAGATGCAAAAAAGACACACACTCATACCCGGAACACTAAAACGAAAGTCCTTGACGTTAAATTCTTATTGACTTTAACGATTATATATTTCTTATTTTTCATTTTATGTAATTTACTGCTTCGAAAAATTAATTAAGTATTACATATTGAATGGTCATGTTTTCTGATTGAAGTATAAAAGGAATTGGGGACAAAAGATAATTAGATGGGAGCTGTTTTGGGATTGTCTGTAAGGGTTTCATTACAATAAGCACTAGTTGTTTGATGTAATAGAAAAGCTTCATTTTCAAGAAATTCTTTTCTTTATGAAACTTTCTGAGTAAACGTATGATATATAAAATTATTTTAAAATTAAGGTTGTTTAGCGACACGTTACGGAGAGGACTGTGAGAGACCCTGCAGTCATAACTGTATAAACGGAACCTGTCATGCAAACAACGGAACATGTACCTTAGGTTGTGATGGAAATTACTTTGATGCGAAATGTCAAAATGGTAATGATCTATAAATCTTTCCATATATTCTCTTTTCTCTACCTTTGTCAAAACGTCGACAAGAAGCACACGGCGGGTGTGACCGGTCAGCAGGGTATGCCCACTCCTCTTTGGCATCTGATCTTACTTCTGATCTTTTGAGAGTCATTGGTTCCTCTGCTCCTATTTTGTATTATTTTATGAACTTTTGATCTTGAATACTGTTCGTTATTTCAATATGTTTTATTCAGTTGATTTGTTTTTGGCCTTGGTTTATGTTGAAGAGCTGCTCGATTCAAATACCCACAAAACGGAATTTGGAACTTATAATAATATTAAATGTAAATTTTGTATAACATATTTTTGTGAAAAGCACAGACCAACGGATAAAACACTTGAAAAGTAGAGGGTAAAGATATGATTTGATATCTTGTGATTGCCTGTAATGAGATAAAAAATATCGTGACCATACAGATACAGCTGCCCAGAGGTAAAGGTTGAGACATTTCTGTATTCTACACGAATTTTCCATTTTCTGTAAGATAAAACTTTGTTTCGAGACTCAAATATTTGAAATTATACATATTTTTCAAAAATTTGTAGTTGACACTCGTTTAAACTTTTATCAAAAATATTGTTAATATGATTTTTTCCAACTACATGTACTTTAGAGTCAGATTCCAAGGAAAAAGCGGCTATTAAAAAATTGTATTCTTCATAAGTACAGTAAAACTTAGTTATAATGAAGTTAAGGGGACATTCAATTTGGGTTCCTTCAAACAGAAATTGTTAATACTTCAATTTTGTATTTATTTCGGTTTTAAAAATTAATTGAAAGTATTTAACGGAATCAAAAAACTAATTCCATGAGACTGATAATTTATTATAAGCGAGCTCTTAGTGACCGAATTTTACTATAGTGAGCAGATGTCTGGATTTATCTGGATTCGAATCGTGGGATTGAGTTTTGATATTTTGATGAATGCAGTACAGCTGAATATGTGCAATCAACCTATAGGTATTGTTTCGTTTAATAACAATGTGCGCTTAATTCATCAAGCCTGTGATATGTTTTAAGTTTTAGTTTAAGCTTTCTACACATGTACAACTTGCCAAATGCCTTTTATCATTTTTGAAAAAAAATCCTTTAATGTCTATATAAATTATTTTGTTAATTTTATAATTTTAATGTGTTTCATGACCACTTTATCAATTAAAATAAATCAATATTTTTTTCGACAGCTTTGTATGATGGCAGCTATATTTCGAATTCTAAACAGGCTATTTATATCGGTTCTGTAACTGGGGTCGTCGGCTCTCTTTTAGTTGTAATGGTACTAATACATTTTTTCAGGTAAATACTGTTTTATCTTTTGAACTATGAGTTCTTTTTCCAATTATAAGAAAAAAGATTTCTTGAATTTATTAATTTCTCTGGTTCTAAGAAAAGAGATTAAATAATATTATTCTTTATCAAAATAATATGAGCTGCATTTTGGAGAAATTAATTTTGCTGTTAATAGTATTTCTTTATTTAAAGAAATACCTTATCTACAAATAAAAAGTGTAAAGTACATTTCTGATAACTTTTTTTGATGTCCCTTCCTTTCTTTGATGAATCTAAACATATTAACAGATCAAGAAAAAGAGAAAATATTTACTCAACATCTGGTGTTGCATATAAGGAAAATAATTATGGTACAACATGGATTTTGGTAGAATTGTAACAAGTCT